GACCCAGAGAGCTGGATTCTCTCTCCATGAGAGCATAGGGGTGGGCCATGTGAGCATGCAGGGAGAAGGCGGCTGCCTGCAAACAAGGAAGAGAGCCCTCACCGGGCAGCCAATCTGCTGGCACCTCAATCTTGGACTTCCCAGCTTCCAGAACTGTGAGAGATAAGTCTTTATTGTTTAAACCCTCCATTATTTTGATATAACAGCTAAGCTTACGAGGACAGACCATATGTGTAAATTCTCTTAAGTATGGAGATGCATGAATAAGCAGAGTGCACTTTCCTCTGCAAACCAAAGTGTATGTCCCATTATATTTTAGCATCTCTTTTCATTAATCAGCCACCTGTTTTCTCTGCTTGTACTTAGCTCTTGAATTGTTGTTTTCTTTAACACCAGTAACGCCATCATGTCTGACAAATGCAACAGTCATGAGTATGGAAAGTGCTGGTAAAACGGGGCCTGTAGTTAGGATATGGATGGTGATATTTTAAAAATTGTAAAAATATGTCAGAGGTACCCATGGAATCACAGATTCTCTGGCAGGCCATGGCTGTGACAGGAACCGTATCATGCACCATGTGAGATGTGCTGTGGCAATTAGCAAGACAGGAAGAAAAATAACTAACGATAGAGAAATCTAAGGGGGTGGCATCGGTACCAGTGGGGGCTGAATATCACAGTATCCTCAGAGCTACGATGCCCTCTCTTCCCTTTCTGACACATCTGAAGCTGGGGTGTGTTGCAGTGGATTGCTGCTGTCAGCCAGATGGCAGGCATGCCCTGGGCGTCATCTCCTGGGCATGTGCAGACAGCTAAAGAGCAGCCCCAAACCTGCGGGGACGGGGGCCCAGCAGCTTAGAAGAAAGCCCTGCAGACAAAAGCGAAGCCCTCTGAACCGTTTGGGATCCAACTAACTGTGCGCAGGCAGGGCTGGGAGGCACGCATGAGACTTGCTCGGCCACATTCCCGAGGCCCAGTCAGAAGTAAGCTGGCTCTAGATCATTGCAAGGTGGACTTCAGAACTCCGCACCCCTGGCTGGAGGCTTGTGGTTCTTTTGTGGATTATTTAAGAAACGCTGCCTCGCCAACGCTCCCACGGAACACAGGCCACCATTGTGTGGAAAAGCACGGACGTGAATGATTCAGAGTTGACAGCTGATGCGCGCTGTTGGATTCTCCGTGTGATAAAGGTTTGGAAGACCTCAGCCAATACACTTCACTTGTGTATTCCTTTTCAAACATACACGATAGTGGTAGATAATAAAGGCTTGTCTGAGTCGAAAGGAGCTCTCTCACAAAGAAAAAAAGAAACGTTGGAAGTAGTAAGAAAGCGGTGTGCGCAGCTTAATTGGCAGCCTTCCCCCTCAGAGGTAATGAAACTCGGTGCCGCTAATCAAGGGCATCCAGCGTGTGTGCACTGAGCTGCCTTTGGTTATCATGGGAGACCCAGGCGGCTGCTGAGACCCTGAAAGGCTCTGCGTGGGAAGGGGCCGCAGGTGTCAGAGTGTTTAATTTAAGGCCCCTCGGCACCTGCTCACCCTCAGAGGCAGAGGTGAGGCGGCCCCTGCAGATGGCAGAGCTGCTGAGGAGTCCCAGCTACCCGCGGGCATCTGCCTGGCAGATCTGCCCGCAAGACTGGCCATGCACATGTATGCGGCGGGTGGCGTGAGGGTACCTGCGTACAGCACAGCAGAGCGCCCACTTCTTCTGCGATTAAGAGACAAAACGCCTGGAACTCTGTACATCACTCCTGTTAGTCACTGGGGTTGGTGAGGAAATATCCTTGGGAATGACCTTGGTATCTAACGTGTTTGCTGATCATATACAATACGTGTGTCGTGTACCTCTATTTATACACACACGTGCTCATTTATGTATAGTCGTCCCGGCGTCTGTAAGGGATTGGTTCCAGGACCACCACGTATGCTCCTGTCCCTTCTATAGAACAGCTTGGAACAATGTGTACAGTCGGCATCTGTGGCTACGGAGGGCCAACTGTACACATATATCTTACACAGAGATCTGTGTATATATGACATAGTTCCCATAAGCTCTCACACTCACCTCACACATTGTTTGATAGCCTGCTTTTTACAGATACAGCACCCCTTTCTGTGTCATTACATCGCCTCTGTGGCATCATTGTAAGTGACAGCCTAGAATTCTTTTGTGTGGATTTGCACTAATTTCTTTAATCACTCGTATGAATTTCTTCTAGTTAACTTGTGAAAGCATAATGTCAGGCCGTCTCTGTGGCCTCGCTGTGTGCAGAGCTGCACTGCTGCTAAGCTGGATCCTCACGGGGACCTCTTTGTGGTCTGACTTCGTGTGGTCTGGGCGCACCAAGATCACAGGCCTTTTGTCGGCCCCTTATTGTTTTCTGTAAATGTGTGTATGGGCAGGTTAAAGGGCCAGCAGAAGGGTTAGGATGGGGGCCTGGGGAGGACAGGAAGCGCAGCCTCTAGAACCACACAGGCCTGGCTAAGAGCCCAGGCTACGTGCCTTGGTTTCCTCGTGTGTAAATTGAGTCTATGGGAAAACCTTTAGGACGGCTGGGGTAGTAATACACAGCATTTCAAGTGTGTCTGTCCAGCTTGGGAGGGAGCGGGTGCGACAGAACACCACGCCAACACAGTCCCGGCATTCTGGGAGGTGATCAGGGCACGTAAGAGATGCTGCTCTTCATTGACGTTTTATGCCTCTGTTCCCCAGTTTTCGTGGGTGAACAAAATAGAGGAGGAAGAGCAGCATCTGCCCTGTACCCACAGCTGGCTGCACGGGCATGTGGCCTGCAGCTGCACAGGGCCCTGGGCTCGGCTTCCTGCTCTGCTGTCACGCTCTTGAATTCTTGATTTTGCACAGGGACTCCATATTTTCATTCTGCACTGGGCCCCTCGAATTACATAGCCAGTAAGGTGGTTGGGAGGGTGAAATGAGAACTCACAAAGCAGTTAGCATAGGACTCCGGATGTAATGGGGCTCAATAGTTATTCAGTGGATATGATTGTTTTCTTTTATGAATGGAGACAACCATGGTAAGTGCATTATAGAATCATCTCATCATTAAAATAGTATGAGATAAATACATAACTAATCTCGTCATACAGATTTTAAAAACTGAGGCTGAGAGATTAACCTCCGAAAATCACACAGCTTATAAGTGATAAATGCAGAGCTTAGATTCAAACCCAAGTCCATTTCCCCCAAAGCCCAAGCCATGGCCCTGCCCTATTAAATACTAGTCCCCTCTCTCCGTCCCTCCCAGGGACCCTCTGTGAAACCCAGTGTTAAGTGTCCTTGACCTCCATCAGTGGCCAAGCCAAGGTTTCAGAGCCCCTCAGAGGAGACCTAGAATTTCCGTCAGACCTGGGCGGGGCTTCAGCGTAAGGACAGGTCCCCTTCTCACCCTCAGGCCGGCCCTGCCTGCCACACACCAATCCTGCTCGGACTCGCTGGCTCCAGTTCGGTTATCTGGCCAAATCTGACCAGCCCGGTGACAACTCAGCTTGCCTCCTTTTATTCCTGATACGCTGGTGACGAACACCCCAGTAATACCCCCGAAACCCCTGCGGGCATCAGCGGGAGATCCACCCGTGTCAGGTCCTGGGAAAGATGTGGGAGGGGCCTGTTTCCAATGGGCTGAGGACGTGGCCATCTGGCCTGCTGCAGGGGTCCCTTGATTTCCTGCAGGGCCAGGCCATGATTTGCTCTG